CTTTTTATGTTTGCCAGGCCTCAGTTATCATTATTTCGGCTGAGAAGCCATGCCTGTGTTTCTGTAGTTTATTGGTTTAGTCGTTAGTGTATAATATGTATGTGTGCATTTGCTATAATGTATTTATCGGTTAGTATATTATGCTGTGATGATGATTTTTGTCAGCGGAATTGACTCGAAATGAAGGGACGCACCATTTTCATATTTTCTTAAAATGATATTGCCGTAGAAGAGATTTTTGCGGTGATTCAAAGCTAAAAGCCTGAAACTGGCTTTGTTCTTCTTTTTTCTTTTGGTCAAACCGGCTTTTCTCTTTACATGCATCTTTGTGGTGAAATTTGTTGTGCTTGTGCCAGAGAAATGGGGACTTTAGGTCTCCCTTGGTGTTTGAAACGTTAATGTTTCTGGCCTAATATAATTGCAGGAAATATTTCTGTTGTCAGTGCTCACTTTCTGTTTGTTGGTGTTTTGAAATTTATCATATTAATTGAAGGTGTCTAAGGACAAGATGAAGGAAAGGGAAGGGTTGGCAGCAGAGAAGCCAGGCCAGACAGAATCCAAGGTTATTTTCGTTATGATTCTCAGAAACTTTCTATCTCAAGTTATGGTTTTTACTGCAATTGTTTGTTCCCCATGTCTAGATTTTGTTTTACTTCATATATTTGGTATTAAGTAGTATCTCAGTTTTTTTGTGTTTTGATGATGGGGTTTCTGGGTTTGGTTATCTGAAAGTAAGTAGGTTAGCATGCATAATTGAATAAATAAGCTAACACATTTTTATCTTTTTTATAAGTATAGAATCATTAGGTCTTGAACATATTTGTTCATATTGTTGGGGAAGGTGAGTCATCTGTTTTAAAGAACATATAATAACTAGTTAGTTAATTTATTATTGGATGTGTTTTTACGACAAATGTTTGCTGTTTCATGACAATCAGCTATTCCTTTTTATACAGTGATTACAATTATGTTTTTAGATGTCAATGACAATTCTTTCCCATTGTACCTTATATTGAAATCTGTGCAATACACACGGTGGACTAGTAGTAGTTTCATGATGTTATGACACTTGAGCTTGTTGCAGGATTATTCCAGGTCAGGAGGATGTAAATATGAAAAAGCTTTTAGTTTCAATCCCAGAAGAGGGGAACCTTCTGTAGCTCCAATTCTAGAATGTAACTTTCTGGGCCTCCCAATTCGGCCGGTATAAATTCTAGGTTTGATCTGCAAAATTTTGAGGAATGAATATCTCTTCATGATGTTTAAGATTTATGACTTTATCTTTGCTTATTTTATTGGTCTGTTACCTGAATATTTATTTCAACTTGTTACAGGGGGAGAAAGACTGTTCCTTCTATATGCGAAATGGCTCCTGCATGTTTGGTACAAACTGCAGGTTTAATCACCCTGATCCTACAGCTGCAAGAGAATGTGACCCCCCATCTGGATATGGTAATGGCGGATCTGCATCATTACAAGGTGCATTGTCATCAACAGCAGCACCATGGTCTGCACCAAGATCATTGAATGATGCTCCGCTTTATGTGCCAATGGTGATTCCGCCATCTCAAGGGATTCCTTCCCAAAATACAGATTGGAATGGTTATCAGGTACTTTTTTTTCTTCACTCTCATGTTGTAGTCTTCAGTTTGAGTAACTGTCATCACTTTGATACACCAATTAACATTTTTTAAGGGATAAGATCTCAAATAAAATCTTTTTTGTGTTAACCTTTTTGTTCTATGTTATTTTTATTCATTTTTCTCATGAAACTAATATGACCTCTCTCTCTCTCTCTCTCTCTCTCTCTCTCGCATTCAACTAGTAATAGAACTACTACTGTCCTCTTTTGCATTTTCGCATACATGCTTTTTACCTTCGTTTTTGTTTTGGTTCTGCCATGTTTAGGCTCTAGAATATCTTCTAGAAAGAAGCATGCCTACACATCCACCCATATGTTATGAACCACTCAGTCACTGAAACCAACGCCTACGAACAACATCCACAGCAGAAGCAAGTTGAACAACTCCTAGAACGACCTGTTCAACCTGTTTGCATTTACTTCTCCAGAACGGGGGATTGTAAGTTTAGGGGATGTATTCATTTGAGATTTTGAAATATTTTAAAGAAGTTTAAAAGTTCAGGTGGTAGAAGTCTATAAAATTATGGGTGTATTCAATCCAACCTTTTTAAATTCCATCCAAATTTGGATGTATTAGATTTTAAAAGACTCCATAAAAGTTTGGGTGTATTAAAAGACTCATTGATTTTAAAGGAAATACAAAAAGTGATGGATTTCGATTGATTCTAGACTAATTTTAGGCCATGACAAATCTTTGCTCCCCCTTGAAGATTTTGATAGTCAAGATACAATTTCACCGCCTATATTACCACCATCTTGTCATGGCTATCACCACCACGGCCGCCCCCAATGCGACCACTATCGCCACCACCGCAACCACCCTCAATGCCACCGTCACCTTCACCCCAGTGCCACAACCATCTCCCAGTGCCACCGCCACCACCACCACCGTCACCACCGCTGCCACCCCCACATATTAGGTTCTTGTTTCATGCCATTGGTCACACAAATTTTGTACTAAATTTGTTTCAAATCCCAGGGCCATAACATTTGCACACAATATTCCCAGGGCCATAACATTTGCACACAATATTCCCAGGGCCATAAATTTGTTACAAATTTTGCATAAGAAAGCAAGATCTATTTGTATGTTAACTTTGTTTTTTCTGGCCATGTTCTTTTTCATTCATTTCTGGCTCAGAAAACTAATAATATTCCGATGCACGGATGCTATAAGTTTGTGAAAATTGACAATATTTTGAACAAATTGCTGTCTGCACTAGTAATTTGTTTAGTTGTTGACATCTGTGCCTTCAGAACATGTTAATTGGCATCCCTATTAGTTTTTGGGATTCCTGTTGTTAATTGGCATTGTTGTTTTACTTTTGCATGTTTAGGCTCCAGCATATCTACAAGAAAGAAGCATGCCCACACATCAACCTTATCTTATGAACAACTCAGTGACTGGGACCAACGTCTATAAACAATACCCACAGCACCAGCAAGCTGAAGAATTCCCAGAAAGACCTGGCCAACCTGTTTGCAGTTATTTCTTAAGAACGGGTGATTGTAAGTTTAAATCCAACTGCAAGTATCACCATCCGAAAACCCAGACTGCAGTATCCCCCTCTTGCACCCTTTGAGACCAGTAAGTTCACTCTTCTCTTGACCGTGCTTTTTGCAATCAGTTCATAATTTTGGAATATGATTTTAGAAAGGATTTTTCACTTTGTGACACATGGGAAAAACAGATGAAAATGCTATTGAAAGGATATTTGCTGCTCTTGAATCATGAAGATTCTTGACCAGCTGTACTTCTCCCCTCTTCTGTATAAGAACCTCAGTTTGATCACATAGCATGCTTCATGATTGCATGCCATTGATCACACAAAATTTGATCCTAAATTTGTTTTTCAAAATCCAGGATCAGAACATTTGCACACATTACATTCGCTATGGGCATTTGCAAATTTGAGCCAGCTTGTAAATTTGACCATCCGTTAAATATAACATCTTCAACTACATCTGGTCCTGATCATCAACATTCTTTCAGTGACTCGGCGACTACGAATGGGGCTGGAAGTGATACTGATGCTACAAGTCAGCCGCAGCCTATGTGATAAGTTTTGCGCAGGATTCGCCATCACCAAGCACATGCAATCTCTTTGTTCTGTTAATTTGATCTCAGAAATGTATCAAACTTTTCCACCCAGATGCCGCAATCTTGTTAGATGTGAGAACTCTATGGAAACGGGACGTGTAAATTATTTCTTATTGATGTCATTTTACCAGAAAATACAAGTTTAATTGGGAATGTGCTCTCAAGCTTTTATGTTATTTTTTTTATTTGAAAACTGAAAACAGTTACCAAACAAGTTTATTGTTCTTAGTTTTTTACAAATGAAAACTGAAAATGGATAACTAAGAGCCCGTTTGATAACTATTTCAATTTTAGTTTTTAGTTTTCATTTTTCATTTTTTGTGCTAGATTATAGAGAAAAATGAGAGTGGGGATGATATTGAGAGAGAGGATGGGAGGGAGGACTCACAAAAGTGAAAACAAAATCTTGAAAGTGAAAACAATTTGAAATAGATTTCAGTTTTTAGTTTTTGTTTTCACTTTTGTTACTCCTTCTTTCTATCCTCTCCTCTCCCTCTCAATCCCATCTTCATTTTTATTCTCACTTTCATTCTCCTTCTTTTTCCTCTATATTCTAGCACAAAAAATGAAAAATGAAAACTAAAAACTAAAATTGAAATAGTTATCAAACGGGAGCTTGAGAGCACATTCCCAATTAAACTTGTATTTTCTGGTAAAATGACATCAATAAGAAATAATTTACACGTCCCGTTTCCATAGAGTTCTCACATCTAACAAGATTGCGGCATCTGGGTGGAAAAGTTTGATACATTTCTGAGATCAAATTAACAGAACAAAGAGATTGCATGTGCTTGGTGATGGCGAATCCTGCGCAAAACTTATCACATAGGCTGCGGCTGACTTGTAGCATCAGTATCACTTCCAGCCCCATTCGTAGTCGCCGAGTCACTGAAAGAATGTTGATGATCAGGACCAGATGTAGTTGAAGATGTTATATTTAACGGATGGTCAAATTTACAAGCTGGCTCAAATTTGCAAATGCCCATAGCGAATGTAATGTGTGCAAATGTTCTGATCCTGGATTTTGAAAAACAAATTTAGGATCAAATTTTGTGTGATCAATGGCATGCAATCATGAAGCATGCTATGTGATCAAACTGAGGTTCTTATACAGAAGAGGGGAGAAGTACAGCTGGTCAAGAATCTTCATGATTCAAGAGCAGCAAATATCCTTTCAATAGCATTTTCATCTGTTTTTCCCATGTGTCACAAAGTGAAAAATCCTTTCTAAAATCATATTCCAAAATTATGAACTGATAAAAAAAAGAAAAAAAAAGAAAAAAGTTGGATTCCTAAGTTTTTAGCAGAAGCTCTGTTCCTGTTGAAATTTTGTAAATGGGTATCAAGGGAGAGAGCCTCAACTTTTCCATAAGCAGCTTTGATACTGAAAAGACACCCAAAAATCCCTGCTTCTGCTTCTGCTTCTCGTTGAAAACAGTAGTAGACCCAATTTCCACCACCACAAGTCAAAACTGAAATCCGATTGAGTTGCATGCAGCTCCTCAAACTCCTGTGATCAGATTCAGATGAGTGAGTTGGTAGTTGGTAGTTGGTAGTTGCTATGCTAAGTTGACAGCAAACAAACCCAGCAACCCAGCAACCCAGCTTCACTTCATCCATCACTAATAATTAATTAATTAATTCTCAAAGCACGATCAGCACAAGCAGGCACCGGTGATGTGGCCATCCGCACATCTCCTACTACCAGCAGCAGCTGCAGCAGCCCCAGTGCTTTACAGATTTTATAAGTATTTGAGACCTGAAGTCATCAGGGTTCCCCAAAATCCTCCGGAACTGTCTGATCTTGATCTTGCCATCCTTGAAGAGATTCGGAAACTCGGCCCCGCCCTCCTTGATAAGATTCTCAAGGACCCCACTCTCCTTGATGAGTTTCGGAAAATCGACCCCGCCATCCTCCAAGAGTTTCGGAAACTCGATCCTGCCATCATTGGCAAGATACTTCAATCCTGTTTGAAAGACAACAAGGAAGGTGAAGAAGAGGCGGACAGGAGTAGTTGTAGTGGGCGCGAAACTGCAAAACAAAACGAAAATGGAAACGAAGAGACGGATGGAGGAGGAGGAGAAAGTAAGAATGAGAATGGCGTTGAGGTGGAGAAGAAGGTTGTTGATGAAGAAAGAAGCAGAAGCCAGCATTACCCAGTGAGGCCTGGAGCTGTAGAAGGAAAAACAGGAAGGAAAAACAAGAAAACCAATCAGGTATATCTCTCTTCTTTTTCCTTCAGCATTTGCATATGTATGTTTAAGGTTGGAAGATTGAGACTTTTTATCATATTAATTGAAGGTGTCGAAGGACAAGATGAAGGAAAGGGAAGGGTTGGCAGCAGAGAAGCCAGGCCAGACAGAATGCAAGGTTATTTTCGTTATGATTCTCAGAAACTTTCTATCTCAAGTTATGGTTTTTACTGCAATTGTTTGTTCCTCATGTCTAGATTTTGTTTTACTTCATATATTTGGTATTAAGTAGTATCTCAATTTTTTGTGTTTTGATGATGGGGTATAACACTTGAACTTGTTGCAGGATTATTCCAGGTCAGGAGGACGTAAATATGGAAAAGTTTGTAGTTTAAATCCCGGAAAAGGGGAACCTTCTGTAGCTCCAATTCTAGAATGTAACTTTCTGGGCCTGCCAATTCGGCCGGTATGAATTCTAGGTTTGATCTGCAAAATTTTGAGGAATGAATATCTATTCATGATGTTTAAGATTTATGATTAATCTTTGCTTATTTTATTGGTCTGCTAGCTGAATATTTATTTTAACTTGTTACAGGGGGAGAAAGACTGTTCCTTCTATATGCGAAATGGCTCCTGCATGTTTGGTACAAACTGCAAGTTTAATCACCCTGATCCTACAGCTGCAAGAGAATCTGACCCCCCATCTGGATATGGTAATGGCAGATCTGCATCATTACAAGGTGCATCGTCATCAACAGCAGCACCATGGTCTGCACCAAGATCATTGAATGATGCTCCGCTTTATGTGCCAATGGTGATTCCACATGTTCAGATAGGAAGCTGGGGTAATGCAGGTGGGGCTTGGGCCCAATCAGAGGCAGGAAACAAAGATGAAGCAAGTGGCTGGACAAAACCTGCTTTTAATAATGAGAATCAGAATGACAGTTGGAAGAAACCAAGTGGTATAGATGACAATAAAAGAGCTTCCTGGGGTAAAGCAGATGGAGGTTCTACTTGGACTAAACAAGATGGAGATCCTATATGGAATAAACAAGGTGAAGGTTCTACTTGGAATAAACAAGATGGCAGTTCTGCTTGGAATAAACCAGCAGGAGATTCTTCTTGGAGTAAACAAGCTGGAGGGTCTTCATGGGGTAAACGAGCTGATGTAACAGCAGGACATTTGTCTGGCGAAGTGGGGAATCAAGATAATGGTTGGAAGAGAGCAAGTTCTTTTGGTGGCAGTCAATCAATAGATGGTGGGAATGGAGACCAACCTGAGGATTTCAATAATAATCAAAGTGGTGGGAATTGGAGAGGTGGTTCAGGTAGAGGAAATTCAGACAAAGGAGGTTTTAGAGGTGGACGGGGTTTTGTAGGTATAGGTGGTGATAGAGAGGAGGATAGAGGGGGTTTTGGACGTAGATGGGGTTTTGGTGGTAGAGGTGGAGACAGAGGGAGCTTTGGTGGTAGAGGTAAATCAGACAAAGGAAGGTTTGGTGGTAGAGGCTATGGAGGAAGAGGCCATGGGAGGGATCAAAGTGGTGGTTGGAGCAATAGAAATGAATCTATTGATAATAACTCATCAGGCTGGAGCAAAGGGGCAGACGGTGCTGGCGAGGGATGGAAAAAGAGTGGAGGAAGTTGGAACCAAGGAGGTGGCAGTAAGAACGATTGGCAGGGTAGGAACTCTAGTGGATGGAGTAGCCAGAGCTCCGGTTGGAACCAGTCTGATGTGACTAAAAGAATTGGTGGTTTGGGATCAGGTTGGAATCAGACAGTGGAGGCTAAATATACTGCTGGCACTCAGGACAAAGGAACAGGTTCTCATAATGAAGTGGGCAGAAACTGGGGAAACAATTGGAAATCATCAGATGCTTCTAATGGGGACCAATCGTCTAGCTGGAAACAATCGACTGCAGCCAGAGAAGTCAAAGGAACCACTGATCAAGATGGGGGCTGGAACAAGGGACCGAGCTCAAACGCACAAGCTGGGGGCTGGGGCAACCAGGGTTCAGGTTGGAACAAAGGAACAGGTTCAGGATTTGGAGGTGGTACCGGAGAGCAACCAAGTGCTGCTGTTGGAGGTCAATCATCTGACTGGAAGCAATCAAGTGTTGCAAGCGGGGCTCAATCCTCTAGTTGGAATCAATCTGGTGAGGCAAAACAAGGAACTGATGAAGGTGCAAAACTGACTAATTCATGGGGCAAAGCAGCAGCAGCAAGCTCTTGGGGCAAGGGTTCTGATGGTGGAAGTAGCAAAGGAGGGTGGTGATCAAATCACCTCCTCAAAGAATTAGGGTTTTAACTTAAATGGTGTAGATACTGCTTTGTCTTTTGCAGAGCTAGAAGAGTCTTAACTTAAACCCCCGTGTCTATTGACAATGGTTGAAATTTTGTATGCATCTCTTTGAACCCCAATCTTGGCTAAACTATCCCTTTGTCAACGTTCAAGCTTTTCTAACAAAAAATGATGATTCCACCATATCAAAGGGATTCCTTCCTAAAATACAGAATGGAATGGTTCAGGTACTTTTATTCATCACTCCCATATTTAGTCTTCAGTTTGACTAACTATCCTCACTTTGATACACCAATTAACATTTCTTAAGGGATAAGATTTCAAATAAATCTTTTTTGTGTAACCTTTTTGTTCTATGTTATTTTTTATTCATTTTTCTCATGAAACTAGTAATATGACCTCTCTCTCTCTCTCTCTCTTGCATTCAACTAGTATAATAGGAGTACTACTGTTCTCTTTTTCATTTTCGCATACATGGTTTTCCCTTCAAATATTTTTGGTTGTGCCATGTTTAGGCTTCAGAATATCTACCAGAAAGAATCTTGCCTGCAACTCCAGCCTATGTTACGAACTACTCAGTGACTGAAACCAAAACCAACACCTTTAAACAACATCCACAGCAGAAGAAAGTTGAAAAACTCCTCGAACGACCTGGGCAACCTGTTTGCATTTAGTTCTCAAGAACAGGGGATTGTATGTTTAAATATAATTGCAAATATCACCATCCAAAAAATCAGACTGCAGTGTCCCCCTCGTGTGCACTGAGTGCCAAGGGCCTTCCTTTGAGAACAGTAAGTTCACTCTTCTTTGAATTATGCTTTCTAAAGTGAATACATAATTATGGAATATGATCTAACAAGTACCTGCTGTACAATATTTTAAGTGATTGAATAATTGGAAATTTCAAAAATTTGCAACTTTTTAGCGTCCTTTGGATAAATTAGCAATGTGCCACAAAAGTGTTCATTACGAATACAAATTTGACATTGGGAAGAGATTGTAGTGAAAGTTGTCGATATGTCTTTTCTATATATATATTTTTTTTGGTGAAGAAAACCAACATGTCATGTCTCTTTCAACATAAAGATTCTTGACTAACTATGAGAGCCTGATCACATATTACACTTAATTATATCATGCCATTTATCACACAAATTTTGTACTAACTTTGTTTCAAATACCAGTGTCAGAACGTTTGCACACAATACCATAGCTATGTCATTCACAATATTCAACTTCCATGAGCATCTCTATTGCATTTTAGCATGCATGCTTTTCCCTTCAATTATTTTTTTTGGTTGTGCTATGTTTAGGCTCCAGAATATCTACCAGAAAAAAGCATGTCTGCTGCACCTCCACCCTTTGTTATGAATCACTCAGTCACTGAGACCAACGCCTATGAACAACATCCACAGCAGAAGCAAGTTGAAGAACTCCCAGAACGACCTGGGTGACATGTTCGCAATTATTTCTCAAGAACAGGGGATTCCAAGCATAAATCTAATTGCAAATATCAGTATCCAAACAAGCACACTGCAGTGTCCCCCTCATGGGCACTGATTGACAAGGGCCTCCCTTTGGGACCAGTAAGTTCACTCTTCTTTGAATTGTGCTTTTTAAAGTGAATGCATAATTATGGAATATGATCTAACAAGTACCTGTTGTGCAATTATTTTTTTTAAACACGGAATAATTGGACAATTCAAAATTTTGCAAGTTGTTATGTTCCTTTGGATAAATCAGCAATGTGCCACGAAAATGTTCATTGCTGACACAAATTTGACCTTGGGAAGAGATTGTAGTGAAAGTTGTGGACATGTCTTTTTTTTTTTCTCTTTCAGCAGAAAGATTCTTGACTAACTATGACTCTGAGAGCCTGTGTTTGATCACATATTACGCTTCATTATTCAATGCCATTGATCACACAGTTTTTTTTTCAAATACCAGCGTCAGAGCATTTGCACACAATAGCGTAGCTATGGCATTTGCCATATTCAACTTCCATGGGCATCTCTTTTGCATTTTCGCATGCATGGTTTTCCCGTCTTTTTATTTCTTTTTCTTTTTTGTTGCTGTGCCATGTTTAGGCTTTAGAATATCTTCCAGAAAGAAGCATGCCTACCCCTCCACCATATGTTATGAACTACTCGGTGACTGAAACTAACGCCTATGAACAACATCCACAGCAGAAGCAAGTTGAACAACTCCCAGAACGACCTGGGCAACCTGTTTGCATTTACTTCTCAAGAACAGGGGATTGTAAGTTTATATCTAATTGCAAATATCACCATCCAAAAAATCAGACTGCATTGTTCCCCTCATGTGCACTGAGTGACAAAGGCCTCCCTTTGAGCCCAGTAAGTTCACTCTTCTTTGAATTGTATTTTTTTAAAAGCACATACATAATTATGGAATAGGATCGAACAAGTTGCTGTTGCACAATTTTTTTAAGTAATGGAATAACTGTGAAGCTTAAAATTTTGCAATTTTTTAGCTTCCTTTGGATAAATTAGCAATGCGCACCACGAAAATGCTCATTACCAGTCCTTTGTATTCAACATAAAGATTCTTGACAAACTATGAGAGCCTAACTTTGATTACATATTACGCTTTATTAGTGATGTCATTGATCACAATTTTTTATATACTAAATTTGTTTCAAATCCAGGGCTAGAACATTTGCACACAATACAGTACCTATGGCATTTCCAATTCAGGGCCAGCTTGTAAATTTGACCACCCGTCGTTATCAACTTCCCTTCTGCGACGCGGCGATGACAAATGGGGCAGGGAACATCCGGAAGTAGAAGTAGAACTGATGCTACAATCAGTCGCAGCCTCTGTAATAAGTTTTGCATGAAAATTGAAATGGATGCTTGTGCACAGGATTCGCATCACCAAGGATATGCAACTCCTTTTATGCTATTTAGTCTTGGAAATGTATCAAAGTTTTTATCCCAGCTGCCACAGGCCTTTCAGTTTCAGATGTGAGAACTTGATGGATTGGATAACTTCACGAGTATCTTCAATTGGCCACTTTTGTAATGGATAACTTTTTAGTCCCTCCAAAACCAAAACTACCGCCAACAAGGGATAGAAAGGGGGTTTTCTTTTAAATAAAAATGAGGTATTAGTTATTTTAAAATTTTAAATAAAATCACAACAAAAAAAAACTTTACTAAGAAGGATATCGTACTTTGGTTTTGGGCTTGTTAAATGGAGTTTGAATTTTTTTTGGGTAATAGGTCTATGAAATTAAGCAACTCAAACAAATGACACATAAAAGAGGTTGGTGTTTATGATTGAAGGTGAAGGTTCAAGTCCACAATGTTTTCTGTCGTGAAGTATTTCTTCACGACGAAGAAAGCGAAAGCAGCTTTGATACCCAAAAAGAGAAAAGGAAAAAGCAGATGACTTTGATTTTACCAATCAAAACACTGGCAGTGGCAGACCCAATTGACACAAGCCAAAACTAAAGGGAAGGGAATCAAACTCGAATTCAATGCCGTGGTGATAAGATGAGTGATGATGCGTGACTGGCACTGCAGGGTGTAAGCAACCATAGCAAACCCACGATCAGCAGTGATGTTGCCAGCTCCCATCGGCCTCCCAAATCCCGACGTTCGGCCAAATGCTGAACTCTCTGATCTCGATCTTGCCATCCTTGAAGAGATTCGGAAACTCAATGCCCTCATTGATAAGATTCGGAAACTCGACCCCGCCCTGCGTGATAAGATTCGAAAATTCGACCCAGACGTCCTTGATGAGCTTCGGAAAATCGACCCTGCCCTCCTTGATGGCCTTCGGAAAATCCACCCGACCCTCCTTGACGACCCGACCCTCCTTGACGAGCTTCGCAAAGTCGACCCCACGGTCCTCCAAGAGATGCAGCTCGAGCCTGCTGAATGGGATCCTGCCATCATTGGTGCGATTCGTAAATTGTATTTGAAATTAAGGGAGGAAGATGAAGAAGTGGCCGAGCGGAGTACTTGTAGAGGGCGCCAAACTGCAAATGGAAACCAGAAGACACAGAGAAAAGAGACGGATGGAGGTGGAGGAGAAAATAAGAATGAGAATGGCGGTGAGGTGGAGATGAAGGTTGGTGAAGAAAGAAGCAGAAGCCAGCATTATCCAGTGAGGCCTGAAGCTGGAGAAGGAAAAACAGGAAGGAAAAACAGGAAAAACAATCGGGTATATCTCTCTTCTTTTTCCTTCAGTATTATGCATGTATGGTTTTTACTGCAATTGTTTGATCTTCATGTCTAGATTTTGTTTTACTTCATATATTTGGTATTAAGTTGTATCTCAGTTTTTTGTGTTTTGATACTGGGGTTTCTGAGTTGGTTATCTGGTTAGCATGCATAATTGAATAAAGAAGCTAAAACCTTTAACTTTTAGACAACTATAATATCATTAGGTCTTGAACATATTTGTTCATATTGTTTGGGAAGGTAAGTCATCTGTTTTGATCAACTTATAGTAACTAGTTAGTTAATTTATTATTGGATGTGTCTTCACGACAATTGTATAGTGTTTCATGACAATCGCTTATTGCTTTTTTGTACAGTTATTACAAGCTTTTTTTATACAGTTATTACAATTATGTTTTTAGATGTCAATGACAATTCTTTCCTTTTTTACCTTGTATTCAAATCTGTGAAAAGTGAATGGTGGACTAGTAACAGTTTCAGGATGTTATAACACTTGAGCTTGTCGCAGAATTACTTCAGGTTAGGAGGACAGCGTCCAAATCTCTACGCTTTCCCAAATCCAGGTAATGATGACGTGCTTCCCCCAAATCCCGGTAAAGTCGACACGGTCCTGCAGGTCAACCCTGCTGAATTGGATCCTGCCATCATTGATGCGATTTGTAAATTGTCTTTGAAAGAAAAGGAGGAAGGTGAACAAGAGGTCGAGGTTAGTTGTAGTAGGCCAGAAACTGAAATCAGAAACAAAAATGGAAACAAGAGACAGAGCGAAGAGAGGGATGGAGGAGGAGGAGAAAATAAGAATGAGAATGGTGGTCAGGTGGAGAAGAAGGTTGATGATGAAAGAAGCAGAAGATATCATTACCCAGTGAGGCCTCCTGGAGCTGGAGACTCTTCGCATAATCTAAAGACTGGGACTCATAAGTTTGGGTCCAATTGCAAGTTTAACCGCACTCGTAGAAGCAAAAACAATCAGGTATATCTCTCTTCTTTTGCCTTCAGCACTTGCATATTTATGTTTATGGTTGAAAGATTGAGACTTTTTATGTTTGCCTGGCCTCAGTCATCATTATTTGGGCTGAGAAATTTCTGGCAGAAAAACCATGCCTTTCTAAAGGTTTATTGGTTTGGTCGTTAGTGTTATTGTATGTGTGCATGTATTATAAATTATAATGTATTGATCGGTTAATGTATTATGCTGTGATGATGATGACTTTTTTCAGTAGAATTGACTCGAAATAAAGGAATGCACCACTTTCAAATTTGCTAAAAATATTGCCATAGAAGAGATTTTTGCGTTGATTCCATGCTTGTTACTTTTTGTTGTAGCTGAAAGCCTGAAACTGGTTTGTCTCTTTTACATACATCTTTGTGTTGAAACTTGTTGTGCCAGAGAAATGGGGACTTTAGGTCTGCTGTAGTGTTCGAGACATTAATGTTTCTGGCCTTGTATGGATTGCAGGAAATATTTGTGTTCTTGGTGCTCACTTTCTGTTTGTTGGTGTTTTGAAATTTATCATATTAATTAAAGGTGTCTAAGGACAAGATGAAGGAAAGGGAAGGGTTGGCAGAGAAGCCAGGCCAGACAGAATCCAAGGTTATTATCGTTATGATTCTCAGAAACTTTCTATCTGAAGTTATGGTTTTGACTGCAATTGTTTGATCTTCATGTCTAGATTTTGTTTACTTCATATATTTGGTATTAAGTAGTGTCTCAGTTTTTTGTGTTTTGATGATGGGGTTTATGAGTTGGTTATCTGGTTAGCATGCATAATTGAATAAATAAGCTAAAACCTTTTAACTTTTAGACAACTATAGAATCGTTAGGTCTTGAACATATTTGTTCATATTGTTTGGGAAGGTAAGTCATCTGTTTTGATCAACTTATAGTAACTAGTTGGTTAATTTATTATCGGATGTGTTTTCACAACAACTGTATAGTGTTTCATGACAATCACTTATTGCTTTTTTATACAGTAATTACAATTATGTTTTTTTATGTCAATGACAATTCTTTCCCTTTGTACTTTGTATTTAAATCTATGCAAAGCGATGGTGGACTAATCGCTACGCTCCCCCAAATCCCGGTGACGACGACTCACTTCCCCCAAATCCCGGTAATGACGGCATCCTTCCCCTAAATCCAGGTAAAGACGACGTCCTTCCCCCAAATCATGGTGACCCTGACTGCGATCTTGCCACCCTTAGGGAGATTCTGAGACATAAGACTGCCCTCCTTGGTATTATTCGGAAACTTGACGGTGGCCTCTTTGGTGATATTCAAAAACTCGACCCGGCCATCCTCTGTGAGATGCAGGCCGACCCTGCTGAATGGGATCCTGCCATCATTGATGCGATTTGTAAATTGTCTTTGGAAGAAAAGGACAAAAGTGAAGAAGAGGTCGAGGTTAGTTGTAGTGGGCCAGAAATTGAAATCGGAAATGAGAATGGATACAAGACACAGAGCAAAGAGAGGGATGGAGGAGGAGGAGAAAATAAGAATGAGAATGGTGGTGAGGTGCAGAAGAAGGTTGATGAAGAAAGAAGCAGAAGACATCATTACCCAGTGAGGCCTCCTGGGGCTGGAGACTCTTCGCATAACCTAAAGACTGGGACTCATCAGTTTGGGTCCAATTGCAAGTTTAACCTCACTCGTAGAAGCAAAAATAATCAGGTATATCTCTCTTCTTTTGCCTTCAGCACTTGCATATGTATTTTTATGGTTGAGAGATTGAGACTTTTTATGTTTGCCCGGCCTCAATTATCATTATTTGGGCTGAGAATTGCTGGCAGAAAAACCATGCCTGTGTTTCTAACTTTCTATAGGTTTATTGGTTTTGTCGTTAGTGTATATGTATGTATGCATGTGTTATAAATTATAATGTATTGATCAGTTAGTATATTATATGATGATGATGATGACTTTTTTCAGCGGAATTGACTCAAAATAAAGGGACGCACCACTTTCATATTTGCTAAAAATATTGCCATAGAAGAGATTTTTGCGTTGATTCAATGATTGTTACTTTTTGTTGTAACTGAAATCCTGAAACTGGCTTGTTTCTTTTACATACATCTTTGTGGTGAAATTTGTTGTGCCAGAGAAATGGGTACTTTTGGTCTACCTTAGTGTTTGAGACATTAATGTTTCTGGCCTTGTATGATTGCAGGAAATATTTGTGTTCTTGGTGCTCACTTTCTGTTTGTTGGTGTTTTGAAATTTCTCATGTTAATTGAAGGTTTCAAAGAACAAGATGAAGGAAAGGGAAGGGTTGGCAGAGAAGCCAGGCAAGACAGAATGCAAGGTTATTATCATTCTGATTCTCAGAAACTATCTGAAGTGATGGTTGCAATTGTTTGATCTTCATATCTAGATTCTCTTTTACATACATCTTTGTGGTGAAATTTGTTGTGCCAGAGAAATGGGGACTTTTGGTCTACCTTAGTGTTTGAGACATTAATTCTTCTGGCCTTATATGATTGCAGGAAATATTTCTGTTCTTGGTGCTCACTTTCTGTTTGTTGGTGTTTTGAAATTTCTCATGTTAATTGAAGGTTTCAAAGAACAAGATGAAGGAAGGGGAAGGGTTGGCAGAGAAGCCAGGCAAGACAGAATGCAAGGTTATTATCGTTATGATTCTCAGAAACTATCTGAAGTGATGGTTGCAATTGTTTGATCTTCATATCTAGATTTTCTTTTACATACATCTTTGTGGTGAAATTTGTTGTGCCAGAGAAATGGGGACTTTTGGTCTACCTTAGTGTTTGAGACATTAATGTTTCTGGCCTTGTATGATTGCAGGAAATATTTGTATTCTTAGTGCTTACTTTCTGTTTGTTGGTGTTTTGAAATTTCTCATGTTAATTGAAGGTTTCAAAGAACAAGATGAAGGAAAGGGAAGGGTTGGCAGAGAAGCCAGGCAAGACAGAATGCAAGGTTATTATCATTATGATTCTCAGAAACTATCTGAAGTGATGGTTGCAATTGTTTGATCTTCATATCTAGATTTTCGTTTACATACATCTTTGTGGTGAAATTTGTTGTGCCAGAGAAATGGGGACTTTTGGTCTACCTTAGTGTTTGAGACATTAATGCTTCTGGCCTTGTATGATTGCAGGAAATATTTGTGTTCTTAGTGCTTACTTTCTGTTTGTTGGTGTTTTGAAATTTCTCATGTTAATTGAAGGTTTCAAAGAACAAGATGAAGGAAAGGGAAGGGTTGGCAGAGAAGCCAGGCAAGACAGAATTTAAGGTTATTATCGTTATGATTCTCAGAAACTATCTGAAGTTATGGTTGCAATTGTTTGATCTTCGTATCTAGATTCTGTTTTACTTCATATATTCGGTATTACGTAGTATCTTAGTTTTTTTGTGGGTTTCAGAGTTTGGTTATCTGTAAGTTCGTTGGTTAGCATGCATTATTGAATAAATAAGCTAAAACCTTAACTTATAGACAACTATAGAATAATTAGGTCTTGACCATATTGTTTGGGAAAATGAGTCATCTGTTTTGATCAACTTATAGTAACTACTCAGTTAATTTATTATTGGATTTGTTTTGAAGACAACTGTGTACTGTTTCATGACAATCACAGTTACTGTTTTTTTATACACTGATTACAATTATGTTTTTAGATGTCAATGTCAATGACAATTCTTTCCCTTTGTACCTTGTATTCAGATTTGTGTAATGTGCATGGTGGACTATTAACAGTTTCATGATGTTATAACACTTGAGCTTCTCGCAGAATTACTTCAGGTCAGGAGGACGTAAATCTGGAAATGCTTGTGCTTTAAACCCCAGAAGAGGGGAAGCTTCTGTAGCTCCAATTCTAGAAAACTTTATGGGCCTGCCAATTCGTCCGGTATAAATTCTAGGTTTAATCTTCAAAATTTTGAGGAATGAATATCTATTTATGATTTTATCTTTGCGTATTTTCTCGGTCTTTTGGAGCTATTATCATGTCTCAGTCTGTTCTGTGAATAGTTATTTTAATGTGTTACAGGGGGAGAAAGACTGTCCCAGCTATATGCAAACTCTCTCCTGCATGTATGGTACAAAGTGCAGGTTTAATCACCCTGATCCTACACCTGTAGGAGAATCTGACCCCCCATCTGGAAATGGTAATGGTGGACCTGCATCATTACGAGGTGCATTGTCAGCTACAGCAGCACGATGTTATGCACCAATATCATTGAACAATGCTCCACTTTATGAGCCAATAATGACTCCGCCATCTCAAGAGTTTCCTTCTCAAAATACAGAATGGAATGGTTATCAGGTAGTCTTCGGTGTCAGTAACTGTCATCACTTTGATATACCAATTAACATCTTTTAAGGGATAAGATTTCAAGTAAGATCTTTTCATTAAACTAGTAATATGGCTTCTCTCGCATTAAGTTAGTAATAGAACTACTACTGTTCTCTTTTGCATTTTTGCATGCATGCTTTTCCCTTCATTTTCTTTTTTGGGTTGTGGCATGTTTAGGCTCCAGAAAGAAGCATGCCTGCAACTCCACCATATGTTATGAACCACTTAGTGACTGAAACCAACACCTATGAACAATATCCACAGCAGAAGCAAGTTCAAGAATTCCCAGAGCGACCTGGGCAACCTGTTTGCTTGTACTTCTCGAGAGCAGGGGATTGCAAGCATAAATCTAATTGCAAATATCACCATCCAAAAAATCAGACTGCAGTGCCCCCCTCATGTGCACTGAGTGACAAGGGCCTGCCTTTGAGACCAGTAAGTTCACTTTTCTTTGAATTGTGCTTTTAAATTGAATATATAATTATGGAATATGATCTAACAAGTACCTGTTGTACAAATTTTTGAAGTGATGGAATAATAATTGGAAAACTCAAAATTGTGAAAGTTTTTAGCTTCCTTTTAATAAATTAGCAATGTGGCAAAAAAAATGTTCATTACTGATACAAATTTGACCTTGGGAAAACATTGTAGTGAAAGTTGTGGACATCTCTCTTCCTACATAAAGAATCTTGACTAACCATGAGAGCCTATGTTTGAATTTGATCACATATTACGCTTCATTATTGCATGTCATTGATCACACAAATTTTGTACTAAATTTGTAATCCCAGGGTCAGAACATCTGCACACAATACAGTGCGTATGGCATTTGCAATTCTGGGCCAGCTTGTAAATTTAACCATCCGTCAATATGATCTTCCCTTCTGTGACTCGACGACTACAAATGGGGCAGGAACATCCGAGAGTATAAATAGAACTGATGCTACAATCAGCCGCAGGCTGTGTAAATAAGTTTGCATGAAATGGCTTTTAGAGCACATATCTCTTTTTGTTATGTAGTAACTTTTTCTCCCAGCTGCCACAGGCCTTTCAGTTTCGGATGTGAGAACTTAATGGAAACAGGGCATGTAAATAATTTCGTATTTATGTCATGTTACCCGAAAATCCAAGTTTAATCTTCTGAATTTTATGGTTAGTCTCTTCACGAGTCTCCTCAATTGGCTACTTCTGCAATGGATAACTTTTTAGTCGCAATAGAAATGTGTGATATTTACCACCAAACCAAACTAAACCAAATAAATGATTGCCAACATGGAGAGAAATTCTCATACAACGGAGATAGCACTTTTTGCTATTTCCAGGGCAATGACACGTGAGATAACTTTTTCACATGTTATTATGTTATTGGCTAGGGTTAGCAAAAGTGCTATTCCCGTTACAAGTTTTTTTAGCAAACATGGGAGAGGAGAGGTTTTCTTTCAATTAGTGAGTTATGAGGGGTTGTCATTTCCAATACTGCTCAATACATGACTCGAAACCCACACAAAAAGTTAGCGGGTCAACCTGCACGATTAAATTTTCAGGGCATTTTTGGGTCAAACCATCATGACTCGTTTAATAAACGGTTGGGTTTTAGGTCAACCCACCGTGACTCATTTAATAAATGGTTGAGTTTCAAGTCAACTTGCCAACCCGATAAAATGCCTATATAAGCGGTTTATTAAACAGGTTGTGTCAACTACACATTACCCATTTCTTTGTTTCTTCGTAATTTTCATATCATTTTCTAATTTCTTTTACTTCTCTTCCTTAATCTTCATACATATAGAGAGGCAAAGTGCAATTACTTGATTAAATTATCAAAATTCAGGTTTATTTTTATGACCTTGTGAAATTGAGATGTGGGTCTTTGTTTTTTTTATTCTTTCTTTTTATTTGTTTTTACTTATTACCCAATACTCAATTATGCAAGTGATTCTTGTATGGGTCATTTTTTTTTTACCCAATACCCAATTATGCAAGTGATTTTGATAAAAGGAAAAAACATAAGATTTTTTTTTTTGTCTACCTTTTTAGCTTGCTAGTTACTAGTTGCTCTACTTATTGACCAAAGAAAAAAGTTACTAGTTGCTACCACACATATGGGAGAAGATAAACTAAAGGCATGTTATCAATTCAAGTTAAATTATTGCAAGACTTTAGAAAGAAAAAATATATTTCTTTTGGTCAAATTATGATAAGAAATCAAATATAGCAATTCTTATAATTTGTTAAACATTTTATAAACTAGGTAACTTGTTTAACACGATTCGAATCCGACACAACAAATTTATTAAATGAATTGGATTTGAATTGAGCATTCATAACATTTTTATTATCCCGATAACACAACCCGACACTACACGACCCATTATCAATCTCAGGACTTAGACTTGAAGACGTGGATGATGATCTCACTCAAAAGACGTAGTTGTGTTGACCAGATAACATTTCTGTTATGTATCGAACTTGGAGACGTTTTGTGTATAGGTTATCGTCTAGTACATAAGTGAACATTATTCTCACCAGTTAAAAACACAGCCATATCACAAAACCGCCAACTATGATGTGGCATCTGAGGAAAATATTAAATAATAGGTTTGTAAAATTACAAAATAAATAATTTTTGACTATGTCATATTTATGAAGCCAAGCTACCTCCCCAAAAAACAGAGGCAAAAAATTATTTGTGATTCCATAGTTTGCCGGTTTTAAATTTTCACAATTTAAGCACGTGCAACTAATTTTGTCAAATATACTTTGTTTGGCAAGCTTCCGTCCAAAATACCTTTTTATACAAGTGATTCCATACTCATTCCGTCACAAAATTAAATTTGGATGCATTCTTGAATTACAAAGGATGTGAAATTACATGAGTCAATTTGCTAGAATTGAAATTACACTGAAAACTACGAGGAAGGGGATTACAGTAGTTAGGGAGAATGGGTGCTTAATGATGAAAAACAAAACAAAATCAAGAACAGTACGAGGATAAACGATGAAAACCAAACATGGGTGAGTCTCCGCTTTTCCAAAAGCAGCTTTGAAATTGAAACCCAAAACAAAAGAAAACAAAAAAGCAGATGACTTTGACTTGACCAATCAAACAAAACAGAACACTGGCTCAAACTCAGTGCCCTTGTTGTTGTGAACTTGTGATCAGATGAGTGAGGAAGTGCAGGGTGCAAGCAAGCAACCATGGTTGCTAAGTTAACAGCAAACCCAGCAATCCAGCTTCCTTCATCCATCACTAATAATAATTAATTAATTAATTAATTAATTCTATAAAAAATAAAATAAAACACGATCAGTAACTCAATCACCAGTGATGTTGCCAGCTGCAGCTGTACGTGTCCTGCTCCCAGTGTCAGTGTCTGCGATTTACGTAATTTATAGGTATTTGCGATCAAGACGGCAAACAGAGATTTCTCCAAATACCAGTAACAACGACGTCGTTCCACCCCCAAATTCCGGTAACAACGACGTCGTTCCCTATCCTGAACTGTCCGATCGCGATCGTACCATCCTTGAAGAGATTCTGAAAGATAACCATGTCCTCCTCGATAAGATTCGGGCACTCGAGCCCGCCTTCCTTGATGGGCTTCGGAAAATCAAGCCCGCCGTCCTCCGTGAGATGGTGTTCGACTCTGCTGAATTGGATCCTGTCATCGTTGATGCGATTTGTAAATTGTCTTTGAAAGGAGGAAAGGAGGAAGGCGAAGAGAACGAAAATGGAAACGTAAACGAGACGAAGAGCGAAGAGAGGGATGAGGAAAGAAGCAGAAGCCGTCATTACCCAGTGAGGCCTGGAGCTCGAGACTGTTGGTGTTATCTCAAGACTGGGACTTGTAAGTTTGGGCCCAATTGCAAGTTTAATCACCCTCGCATAACAACGAAAAACAATCAGGTATATCTCTCTTCTTTCGCCTTCGGCATTTGCATATGTATAATGTATGTTTATGGTTGAAAGATTGAGACTTTTTATGTTTGGCCCGGCCTTAGTTTATCATTATTTGAGCTGAGAATTGCTGGCAGCAAAGCCATGTCTGTGATTCTATGGGTTTATTGGTTTAGTCATTAGTGTATTTGTATGTATTCATCGGTTTATGCTGTGATGATGATGATTTTTGTCCGCGGAATTTAACTAGTATGCTTTTTTTCTTTTACAAAAATCTTTGTGGTGAAATTTGTTGTGCCCCTGGAGAAATGAGGACCTTGGTCTGCCTTTGTGTTTGAGACATTAATGTTTCCTGGCCTTGTATGATTGCTGTTTTTGGTGCTCTTCTCTCTTTATCTTTGTTATTATCGTTATGATTCTCAGAAACTTTCTATCTTAAGTTACGGTTTTTACTGCAATTGTTTGATCTTCATGTCTAGATTTTGTTTTGCTTCATATATTTGGTATTAAGTAGTGTTTTGATGATGGGGTTTCTGAGTTGGTTATCTGGTTAACATGCATAATTGAATAAATAAGCTAAAACGTTTTAACTTTTGGACAACTTTAGAATCATTAGGTCTTGAACATATTTGTTCATATTGCTTGGGAAGGTAAGTCAGCCCTTTTGATCAACTTATAGTAACTAGTTAGTTAATTTATTATTGGATGTGTCTTCACGACAATTGTATAGTGTTTCATGACAATCAGTTATTGCTTTTTTATACAGTTATTACAATTATGTTTTTAGATGGCAATGTCAATGACAATTCTTTCCCTTTGTACCTTTTATTCGAATATGTGCAAAGCGAATGGTGGACTAGTAACAGTTTCATGATGTCATAACACTTGAGCTTGTCGCAGAATTCCTTCAGGTCAGGAGGACGACGTTCAAATCTCTATGCTACCCCAAATCCCAGTAACGACGACGTCCTTCCCCCAAATTCCGACGTTCCCTCAAATCTCGGTAACGACAACGTCTTTCCCCCAAATCCCGGTGACCTTGACCGTGAAAATGGAAATGGAAACGAGACACAGAGCGAAGAGAGGGATAAGGAAAGAAGCAGAATCCGTCATTACCCAGTGAGGTTTGAAGCTGGAGACTGTTGGTCTTATCTAAACACTGGGACTTGTAATTTTGGGCCCAATTGCAAGTTTAATCACCCTCGTAGAAGGAAAAACAGGAAAAATAATCAGGTATATCTCTCTTCTTTCGCCTTCAGCATTTGCATATGTATGTTTATGGTTGAAAGATAGTGACTTTTTTTATGTTTGCCCCGGCCCTCGGTTATCATTAGTTGAGCTGAGAATTGCTGGCAGCAAAGCCATGTATGTGATTCTATAGGTTTATTGGTTTAGTCATTAGGGTATATGTATGTGTGCATGTGTTATAATGTATTCATCGGTGAGTATATTATGCTGTGATGATGATTTTTGTCAGCAAAATTTACTCGAAATGAAAGGACGCACCACTTTCGTATGTGCTAAAGATAATCTTGCCATAGAAGAAATTTTTGCATTGATTCAAAGCTTGTTCACTTTTTGTTGTAGCTGAAAGGCTGAAACTGGCTTTTTTTCTTTTACATACATCTTTTTGGTGAAATTTGTTGTGCCAGAGACACGGGGACTTTGGGTCAGCCTTAGTGTTTGAGACATTAATGTTTCTGGCCTTGTATGAATGCAGGAAATATTTATGTTGTTGGTGCTCACTTTCTGCTTGTTGGTGTTTTGAAATTTATCATTTTGATTGAAGGTTCAAGGTCAGACAGAATGCAAGGTTATTATCGTTATGATTCTCAGAAACTTTCTATCTGAAGTTATGGTTTTTAGTGCAATTGTGTGGTCTTCATGTCTAGATTTTGTTTTCCTTCATATATTTTGTATTGAGTAGTATCTCAGTTTTTTATGTTTTGATGATGGGGTTTCAGAGTTTGGTTATCTGAAAGTTTGTAGGTTAGCATGTGTAATTGAATAAATAAGCTAAAACGTTTTATATTTTAGACAACTATAGAATCATAAGGTCTTGAACATATTTCTTCATATTGTTTGGGAAGGTTTGTCATCTGCTTTGATCAACTTATAGTAACTAGAGTTAAATTATTATAGGATGTGTTTTCACGACATGGTATACTGTTTCATGACAATCAGTTATGGCTTTTTTATTGATTACAACTTTTTTTGGATGTCGATGACAATTCTTTCCCTTTGTACCTTATATTCAAATCTGTGCAATATGCATGATGGACTAGTAACAGTTTCATAATGTTTAACACTTGAGCTTGTCGCAGAATTACTTCAGATCAGGA